CTACATCTAACCCAAACCCTAACATTTTAAGGTCTTTCCAGAGTTTGCTTCCTCGAATAATTGCTACCCAAACCCTTCCAAGACCTAAAGTGTTCACAAACTTTATTTAATTCTGACAAAACTATCATCATCACCACACCCATCAGAGAATATCCATTTGAAATTTCATTCTTTTATTATCCTTTCATTTTCAACTTTTTTAAATTGTTTTTTATCTAGAAAATTCAGAACTGTTTCGTTAAAAAGAACTGAGAAACTGTAAAAATACCGACAATTAAGTTAATTCAACATAATGAATTTTAAATTCTTTTTTTCGAATGAAAACTTTTGTATGGATTATTTTAGTTATTGGTTGAGTGATTTTTACAGAATTTTATATCATTTTAAAATGTTGAAGTAAGGAAATTTGATATAATAGCTTTTTTGGAGCTTGAATTGTTTGGAAACATAAAGTACGGAATGATTTTGGATGGTTTGCTATCAATTTCATACAGAATCTATATCTTGTTGAAATGTTACTAGGGATTTTGGCTCTAAAGACTAAGTTTTGATTTAAATTAAACGATTTTTTGGAACTTTTAATTTTTTTACAAATGTCTGGTCCGAATAGCACAAATCGGTTAATCAAATAGAAATCCGAAAAAGATTGGTGCCAAATTTCAAGTTCAAAAATGAAACTTTAGATTTGACGTCATTTAAGAAGGTCGATAGAATTTTCCAGCAATTTCTAATCACCGCTGATAATTTCCATCTTAATCCAACCAACTCTTAACCAGAAATGTCTATATCCGACCACAACCTGACAGCTTCAACTCACATCTAAATTGTCATCAATAAAATTCACCGACAGACACTCTTAAAAACTCAAACAAAATAAAAATAAAGAAAATTAGCATTTTTTGGAAGGGAAAAACGAGAAAAAAATTCACGATAAAATCTCTTAAAAATTTAATAATTTAATAAAAACATTTTCTTCGTTGCCATTTATGGTAAATATATATCTATTTATATAAATTTTTATCAATAATATTTTTTAACCAAGACTTGAACACTTTATGAAAAAATTTTCTGTTTTAATTTTCCTTTTTTTTTCTTAAAAGATAAATGAGATTTTTTTATTAATTTAAATTTAAATATATACAAAGTTTTTTTTTCACGAATCGTTTTCGTTATTTTTGTGCAAACAGAAAAATTTTTCATAAAATGTTCAAGAATTTTTCAATTGTTTCGTTAAAAACTTTAAGTAACTTCCCTGCAATTCCTTTTTGAATGTCATTAATAAACTCAGGAGATTGTAATTTTGCAAATGTGTGCTTTTATGAATGTTATGATCGAATCTTTGGGAAATTGAGCTTCATATTTCAAACTCGAGGGTGCGAAACTCAAATCAAAATGTGGTTTAAACCTGACTCAAATCTTTAATTGCTCAGATTTTTAACATCAATAGCTACAAAATTAAGGTTTGAGACTAATGAAAGCTTTTCAAGCCAGACCACTGTACTCAAACCTAAACCTGAAGTATAGTGAAACTCAAACCATTCCTTTTATGGCTTTTCTGCCTGGTAGGTTACAGTAATTAAGGCTACAAAAAAAAACTCTTGCACCACTGAGGCTCTGGAAGGAGAGGGGCAGGGATTTAAGAAGAAAAGAACAATAGAAATTCTTGAAAATCAATTATTCGGTTTTGAAAAATGACCGTTAATTTTGGACGTCATAAGTGAATGATCCCAAAGTTTTCTTTAAAAATACAAATTCTTATTTTAATAGTTGCCAGTAAGTTAATTAAGGTGACAACCAATCAAAATTCAGTTGATAAATCTTCAAAATTCATTATCCGAATCTAATAAGATCAAGACATCCCATCAATCATTCAAGTACACACACCCTGCACCTTAAAAAAGTAACAGAAATGAAATCGAGGGAAGCAAAAAATAAAATATTTTGCAATAATCGATTTGAAGGGACGAAAAAAAAAGTTTTATTTCTCATGAAACATTGAATTATTAAAAACATTGAAATATTATTTTTACTTCGACATTCTTTTTTTGGAAGCGACTTTTTTAATTTTTTTTTTTATTTTTATTTTTCATGAAGCAAAAGAAAAACTGAAATTTTATTATTATTTATTCAATTTTTTTATCTTCGTCGTTTGGATGGTAGCTGTGATATTTACTTTACAAATTTTTTTCTCCTTCGTACCTAACCTTTGCTATACTTTATTAGTTTTATTAAAATTTTCATCATTTTTATGGAAATTTTTCCTTCAATAAATTTGCTTAAATAAAATGAAAATATATTTAAATATCGATTTTTTTCGGTTTTCTTGACAGCATCAATATTATTTACATTTATTTTGTTTTATTTGATTTGTAATGTAACTGCTTACTTGGTCCTACTTTTGACCAGATACTGGTAATTATTGATTCTCTCTTTTTAAGTTTTAAGTATTTTTTTAAAGATTTTTGTTTTTTGTCATTTTTTATTGTAGAAATTTCAATTGCTAGTTATTTTATTTTTTTATAGATGTTGTGGAGTTGATGAGAATGTTTTAAGGGAGGAATTTATAAGTTTTAGGATTCGATGTCCTGAAAAGCTGTTTAAGAGCCAGAGACGTGATGATAAATGGATCTTAAGCTTGTGTTTTTATTTCTTATAAGAAGCCATATAAGATTTGAGGTTCTTAGTCGGTTCGGCATGAAATTATAATCAGAAGACAATTGGTTCTAATTATACTACAAACCCGGCTGCCGTCTAGCAAACATTTCAATGCAATGTGTGCCGATCGAGACAATTCTTAACCTCAATCAATAGTTTGGAGCTAAGGTCTGAGATTTAGTCATAAGGGGTCGTTCACTTATGACGTCCAACATTTATGGGGGGAGGGGGGTCAAAAATTTTTTAACACATTGTGACAGGGGAGGAAGAGGGGTCAGGAAATTTGTGACATCCAATTTTTTAATCAGGAAATTATAATTTTTTGTGTCTTGGATTGGTCGTCACTGGAGGGAGGGGGGTATTGAAATCTATGACAGTTTTGCGACAGACGGGGGAAGGTTTTTTTATGGACGTCATAAGTGATCGGCCCTTAAAGAAATCGTAATTATTTAATTGACTTATCAAAATTCAAAGTCAAGAATCAATTTGTTTGACTGTCAACAAAACAAAATTTACAAAGCTATAAATTTTTTAAAGGTATTTTAACGACTTATTACATTGTTAGAGCCTATTTAAAGCTAAGCTAACCACAAAGTGAGCAACATCTCATTTCTTCCGAAACTCTAATAAAAGTTCTTAATGCACCCCTGTCTAAAAAGAATATTTTATCATTTGTTGATGTAAAAATAAAAATCAAAGTTTATAAAAAGTCCCTCAAAAAAATCTCATCTTGTTAAAAGAAAACTCATTTTATTGATGTTTCCAAATTATGCTCCCTCTTTATAACTTCCTCCCGAAAAAAAAACATTCGTTTCTCATCTTAAAGAAAAAGAAAACTTTTTATATTTTGTTATAAAAGTAAACAAAAAATTCGTCCTTTTCAGCTGCCCTTAGTGAAAGTTTATGTTGTCCCTGTTTTATCTACAATTTAGATGATGTCAGTGACCTTAAATCATAAGGAATAATCGTGCATTTTTGAGGGGATTGATGAAGTTTTAAGGATTGTTGTCGTTTTCTAGCATCAATTAGTCACAGTTAAACTTTATACATATATACCAAAGAGCAGTGGTGGTCAACCTTTTTTGCGACACGGCACACCTTGATGGTAAGCTATGAACGAAACCGCACACGGTATATGGTTCGTTGTATTTTCCAATTTTTTTCGTTTCACACTAGTGTGCCGCGGCACATGGGTTGGACATCACTGCTCCAAGTGAGCTCAACATGGTAGTTCCTAAAACTGGCACCAGATTCGTTAGACTATCAAAAATATTTCAAGATTTATATTTAAAAATTTCAACAAAATTAATTATGCATCCCTAACCCCCATTAACACCCCAAAGAACTTAATCTTTTCATCTTCGAATTTCAGAAAGTGAAAATGAAGAAAGAAACCCAAAAGAACGCAAAAAAGTGATTTCATTTTCGTTTACCAACTTCTGATTTATGCAGCATAAAGTTAAATAAGACTGAATCTGCCCTCACCTTTAGATTGGTTGTGGCTTTGTATAAAAGATATAAAAAAAAATTTGCATGAAATGAAAATTTTATTCATTTGAATTTCTTATTTTTGCATCTCCTTCGTGGTTGTCGTTGGTTTGCTGCCTTGTCAACCACGTAATTTGGAGAATAAATAAATGATAGAGAAGATGGCAAAGAAAATTTGGACTTGATTTTTTTATGGGAAGTAGGTAAATATTTGTTTTGGAATTTTCATGGTCAATTTTAACTTTGTGAGCAACAAAAATACTTTTAAGATTTAAGAAATAACAAAATTTGTTCTTACAAGTTTCGAGGTAATCTATTAAAATCTAATTTAACCTTCAAATTTTACAAATAAAAAGATTTTTCATCGGAAATACTTGAATTGTATTTTTATTGAGCTAAATTGATTTGATTTCTTTTTCTTTTTGGAACTTGAAACATTTTTTTACCTTCTTGGAAATTTATGTACAAATTTTGTAGTTTTAACCTTCTGATTTGGATTTTAAGATTAGGGATTTACGTTGTTCTGATTGTCGTGAATATATTCAATACTTAGAATCAGCAAGGGATGATGATCTCTTTGAAGGAGGTCACTAGTTAAAAATAAGAGCGCAAATGTTAAATTTTTTATATTTTTTGAAATTTTTTTAACCTTTAAAAATCTTTAAAACTAGTTTTAATTTTTTGAAATTTTAAAAAATTCAAATTAATAATTTAAAAATTTCAATCTTAAAAAAATTGAAAATTTCAAAATATTGAAAGATTTAAAAATTAAAAACTATTATTAATAATAAAAATTTTTAAATTTCAATTTGAAATTTTAAAACTCTTGTTTTTTTTGAACAAAAATATTAAAAAGTTGATTTTTAAATAATTTTTTAAAAAACTTTAAAGCGCATAATTTTGCCCAATACTTGAAATTAACACGAAAAGAAACTCAAATAAATTTAGAAATTAATCGAGGGTAAAAAATTTCAATATTATTGACTTTTTCCTCAATTTTCTTTTTCATTTCCTTTCCCGCAAAAGCCTTCATAAAACTTCCCAAAATATTATTACTAAGTCATCCTTAATTAATATTCATTTTTTTCACATAGCTTTTTTAATTAAAAATCCTAAAGTATTGCAAGCAGATTTAAAGCACACAACTCAATGCCTTAATAGAAATTTTTCACTTTTTGTCATTTCTCTTCCAAAACAAATATTGTAATTTTTTTCTGCACTTGTTTTAAACAAAAGTTTTTTAATTCAAAAATGTGGTTTTTTGGCTCATTTTATTTTTAATGAACACAAGTTTTGCTTTGCATTGGTTGCAAAGTTGATGGTTGAAGGAAATGTGTTGGAATTGTCAACAGATTGGGATTTTTTATACAAGTGAAGAGATCTAATTAAGAGATAACAAAACTTTAGATTCTTTTTTTTTTGCAGTATTCATTTGGATGCTTTATATCCTTAAAATTTACAGATAGTATCAAATTAATTTAGGAACACAATAATGACTCAAAGAAATGACAAATTAGCTTTTGCTTTAGGGGCTCATTTAGACATTCATTTTCGAACAAAGGGTTCCAAAAAGCACAAGTCGGTTAATCGATCAGAAATCTGACGCTAAGTCCCCGTGGTTTTGGAATGGAGCTGGATTCTATTTAAATCCGACTCAACGCCAGAGTCATGCTAGCTTGGTTTCGGATTTATGATTGATTAAACTATTTGCTTTCCAGGGTGTTCTAAGTCTCTAGACAACCCTTTTATATTCTCAAGTATTTTGCATTTTTAGAAGATAATTTAAAATATTATAATTTCCAATTTCAATCTCAAGAATGCATTTTTTCCAAAAATCTCAAGAATGCATTTGACTCTTTTAGAGCTTTTTGGATAACCTTAAACTCATATAATCACCATTAAACCGTTTTTAAAGTGCTATGAACCTCATTGATTATATTGCATCTTTTAGGATAACCTCTGACACTCTTTAATTCATATGAACGTCACTTAACCTTCATTTAACCCCAATAATCCCATTGAACCTCGATTTGCCCACTTTAGCCGATTGGAACTTTGTTGAGCCCCTTGAACCTCATTCGAACCCTTTTCAACTCATTTGATCCCATCTTTAGCTTCATAAGTTCACATTGGACCATCCTTGAACCATCCCTTGGTTCATCCATACTCAACAAATTCTTAAAATTCTTCATTTATTGCTGATAGTCCTGAGAAATAGCATAAGATACAGCTTTCTTTCTCTGAAGTCTAGTTAGTCGTGCAAATAAAGCACCAAACCCCCTAAAAAATGCACTCAAGTCACTGACACAATTCTTAACTTTCTCAACAACTCATAATAATTTTTTTTTTGTCTTTCGAATATAATTGAAATTTCTTTCTTAATTAAAACTTATTCCTTCACATTTTCTCATACATTATTTTCCTTACATCCATTTTTTTATGGGGTTTAATTCGTTTCTAATTTCTTAGTTATTCAACAATTTTTTTTCATCATTTTTAATTTACAATCTTTTTGTGTATCTTTTTATTTATCTGTGAGTGTGTGTGTGTGTCTAAAAAATGTATATTTGAGTTGTACCCGCGGAATGTGAAAAAGTTCTTTTTTTCGTTCGAATCCAAGCGTGTGTCTATTTTTTGCAGAATTAAGTGTCGTGGAATGTTGTGTTTCAGATACAGTTGGGAGAGAGAGAGATAGAAAGAGAGAATTTTTCCATTTGTTTTAAATATTTTTCATCTTATGTCATACATCGTACATAAACTAAGGCGGCTAAATGTTTACTGTTGACAGACATATGGTGCTGGTCTCCAGAGTGTTATATGATACTTTCACGATTACGTTCCGTGTCCTCTTGCTCATTGTCCTGACTCGATACAGATCCGCGCGATGATGCACCGCAAATTTGCATTTCAATTTCCGCTAATCGATGCTCAACTTCCCATTGCTGCTGTGTGAGTTTCGTACTTAATGATATATTTTCTGACTCTACCGTATGAAGACGCGAACGTAATCGCTTTATCTCGTCTTCTAAAGCTTCGTGTGAACCAAGCAGTGGTGTTGCACCTGATTCCAGATGTGTCAGTGAACCAACTACAAGGATGGAGGGAAGAAGGAGAACATTTTGTTAAGTTGAAGACATTATTTTTCGAGGAAAAAAAGTAAAAATTAATGTTAAAAGTTTATTGAATAAATTTTATGGGTAAATATTTTAAATCGAATGTGGAAGAAAAACATTAAAAAGTTTGTCTTTCAATAGATTTAATAATGTAATGGTAACGACGTATTGGGATGGAACTTTGTGAATAAATTCGACTATAATGTACAATATTACTCTAAAATTGAATTAAAGTCGTATCCTGGGGATCTAGATTACAGCTGTACTAGATGATAATCTTCTTTAAGGAGCATATATGACAATTCAGCAAAGCACAATGAAATTTAGAGGCTCAGCTGCTTTGCTATGCTTAGGATATGCACTATATTAGGACTGGGAAGCTGCTATAGTGACAGTTAATTTTTTATTTATACTTCATAGTGAAGTACATAGAATTTTGAATATCCCGAGGAGCTTTTGACATTTAAAATCAGTTTTTGAAGCTAGTCGAAGTATCCTTTCCCAAAATTGAAGACCAATGTCCTTATTTTGTAGTTTAAGTATTTTAGATCTCCCTATAACTGTTTTTTGTGTAAACTGATTTAAAACAAGTAATGTTTGATGGAAATCGAACCCACGACCTCGAAAGAGGTGATCCCTGACCACTCATTCAGAGATCCCTGCCACTCGGCCATCGAAGTCCTTATCTCACATCGGCTATCCGTCGTACACATACAGCCAGTATCACTGTGAGCCCTATGCTCAAGCATATATACGCAGATATTCTTTTCGAACCATATCTACAATTATAGTTTTAATTTGACTGGAGTGGATAGAAACCTTGGTTTCTTTGAGTATATCCTAGTGTCTTAAAGTGCATTTAAAGCCTATATCCTTGAGTTGCCACTTTAACCATAACGCTAGGATATACAGAACAGCTGGTCTAAGAACAAAAACCGTCCCGATCGGCATACATTGAAATTCATTGAAATGTTTGCCATCTGTCAACCGAATTGATTAGAATTGAGTAGAATTAGAACCAAGCGGAAGCTAATTGGCAATGAAAGCCACGTGACAACCACTCAGAATTCAGTTGAAGATGACTTTCAAGCAGCTGCCGCTTGGTTCTAGTTTAGACAGCAATTTAATGTGTGCCGATCGGGTATGTGAGTTAATGGTAATGATACAAACCGGAGATAAAACCCTGCAACATTGAATAGATTCAAGATTTAATCTTATTTCAGCCTTAATTATTCAAAATTTAAATATTTAAGAATCAAGCCTCTAAAGCTAATTAATTCATATCCTTAAAAATTAAATAATTTGAATCTCTTTTAAACACCGCAATTACCATTGTTACCTAATAATCATCACATACCCATATCCTCATTAACAATAATTCAAAAGAAATTGCAATCTTAATTAACAATTCGTTAAAAAATTGTTCAACGTTAATTGCTAGAAAGGCTCACATTGCCAAAACATGATGAAATTAATTATTCAAATTCACAAAATTAAACCTTCGTTCCATCCAACAATGAGACTGAAATTTGACTACAACATTCAATTATCAACACTTACCATTTCGACATGGCTGCGAATGAAGGCGTGATGAATGTGACGTAATTCTACTTCTTGGACGTTCTTCGGAACTATGTACAGATGGACTCATAGAGCCCGGTGAATCAGTTATTCTCGTCCTCTCCGTATTCGCATTGCTTTCACGTCGATGTGATTTCGGACTATAATGTAAATTACTACAATTCGGTCGTATGGATAGAAAGTAAAATGAGAATGGAAATTAATTAATTAGTGACAGTTAGAGACTGAAAAGGGTATGGAAATGGACACAATAAATTAATTTGAGCGCGTTTTATCGCGAGGTAATTTTGAGGTTATGTTGAATTCTTAATGGACTTTAATGTCCAAGAAGATATTGAATTGATGCTCAAAGTAATTAAATAAATGCATAAAATGCCCACAATCGTGACTAGAAATGCATCGCAATGCGAAAAACGCGCTAATAAAAAATTCAGCCCACAACTACATTATTATATAATACTCACGTTTGTTGTGTAACATATGATGGTGCCACAGAAGGAAGCGGTTGCGGTGATATCCACATTTCCTCAACAGTCGTACGATCCTTTGATTCAACGAGACCTGGAGTCGATGAGCAGCGACCCATAGCAACTTAATTAAATTATATTACGAATATTTGATAAAAGATAGCGAAATTTTTATTCTTTTCAATTTTCTCCAAACTTTTTTTGTGTTAGGGCTTTACTTGGGGATTTATTGGGAACAAGAAAAAGTTCTTGTCCTGTGCTACTTTTTTGGAAAAAGGATGTGAATTGTTTTATTTTATTTTTTCTGTTGTCTGTCATGTAATTTATTTTTTGGTACGATAACTTTATATTTCAAAATGTAAACAGCCAAAATAAGGAATAAGAAAGTTTATTTTTTCGGTTGTGCAAATATAAAGGTATGGTCTCTTGAGACACAAACAAGCAAACATTTAAAGGAACGAAAAGAAATTATATAAATCAGATAACAATAAAACTCATGCTTTAGATTGAACATTGAATAGGACACATGTATGTGCACAGATGTTTGAGTTTGAGGTTAGGAAAAATAATAAGAAAATTAGAAAGATTTTTATTAGATTTATGTACAAAAAAACATGTTAAATTAAATTTGATTTACTTAGTCAGGGAACTGCATGATGCTCGGGACTGCAATATATTAAGATAGTTTATCGTCTTTCAGTTAAATATTAATAGCAAAAAGGATCATTAAACCACATATGACGTCCAACATTCTAAGGGGGGTGGGAGGGGCATGGGCATAGCCAGACGGGGTCTATTTCTTCAGTTTGCTAGGGTTTTTGAGAGAAAAAAATCCAAAAACCCCCCAAAATTTTCTTGTCCATACAAAAAAAAAATCAAAACTTCTACCATAAAAATTTCAGACTGCACCCCTGAGGAGGGGTGGTGGCAGTGCAACTTTAACAGCTAATCCTGGAGCTATGATTTGAGTAGGTTTAAACAAATATTCTAAAAGTAAGTCAACTGGCAACAAATGTCTACTCTGTGTACCACAAACACCATTTAAAGGGGATTCAACTGAGTTTTTCTCTACTGATGGACGACATTTGTGAATGACCCCATTCAAAAAAGTTTAAAATAATGATTCCAAATCAATAAACAAATTTTATTAAGCCCTTAATTCCTCAAATAAGAAGCAAAAATCCCCAAAACGATGTGAAAATATTAAAAATTCATTTACATCCATTAAAAAAGCTAAAGAAACCATAACAAGAAAATAAATTAAATTATTCTGTTTCAGACAAAAAGGAAATGCTCTGGAAAATCCTCAAGAGACCCACAAAACCATACGACTGGATATTCTCTAGAGTTTGCCAACAGGATTTTAATGCAGTTAAAGTAGGAAAGCAAAAAGTTTTTAAGCAGTTTTAATTACTTTTGTTATAAATCGGGAATTTCAGGTAGAATTGTCGGAATGATAGCTTTTAGCTATGCAGTTTATAATGAAGTTTGGTTCTGAAATTGAGACTGTTGAGATCAAAACTTATGCTTTACTTCTAATGCTCATAAGTTGCTTTAAATACAAAGGGATTCATAAGTGTGATCTGCGAAGTTTTGTCATATGGATGACATTTTGTAAATCAACTTTTGGAAGGATTCGAACACATGTTCTTCCGAGAATAGTTGTGGATTTTCGACCTTTTTCTTAACAACTCGACCACGGTGGTCTTGATCTCACGTATTCAAATTTGCTAAAATATGGTTCATGTCTCAAAATTTCAATCTGTCCAATTTCTCTTTTAGAACCAGAGCCAAACAACTGAATTTGTTTCATTTTTGATTATTTTGATCTATTAGCTCTTTCATTTACCCTCTTCCCTCACCCATATTGCATCAAAAAACTGCAAAAATTAAGAGTTTCAAAAACCAGAGTTCAATTCCCAATCAACTCAAACTTATGAAATCGGCTCAAATCTTAAGCTCCTAAACATCCTAAATTCATTACATTTTTAATGACCCTCGCATTAGTTTCAAGCACTTATCTCATTTTAAATTCAATCCTTAACACAACCAATTCGTACCTTAATACATTCAAATAAAAGTTTTCCATTTAAAGCCATTTTCAAAATGATGAAATATTAATTCTCTATTGGCATACCCTCGAGGACAACCCGAACAAATAACAAAGAAACATTTTCATACAAATTTTTTATTCACCAGTCCTGGCATGACAGAAACGAGCATGAGAGGAAAGTTGTTTTTTTTTTCATAGTTCAGCACAAAAAGGAGAGAATGTGTTTAATGGGGTCGTTCATAAATGATGTCTTAGTCTTGGGAGGGGGGGGGGCAATGTCATTTCAATACAAACGTATGAAAATAGTTTTGTGACAGAAATTCAGAAGGGGGGGGGGGGGGGTAAAAAAAATTAAATCATTTATTGACATCATTTATGAATGAACCCCAAAGGAGAAAAGATAGAAATTGAAAGGAGTAAAAGTGTTTCTTAAAAATTTTCATCCAACAAGCATCCACAACAAAAAAAAACTTAGTCAAGGCAAATAAAAGTTTGTCCGTAACTATATGGAAGTGTAATTCTTTTTTTTTTTTTGCTGCTGTTGATGTTATTGTTATTGTAATATAATATTTTTCTCAGAAATTGGGTTATAAGGAGATTCTTTTTTATGGAGAATAGCAAAAAAAAAAGGGACAGATACATAAAAATAAACTTTTACTCACCTTTCTCAAGCGGTGCCTTCTTATATTTTTCTAATCGCTTCACAGCAATTGCTTCGAGTCGCACTCGTGCTGCTGGATATTCTTTTAATACATCCCACATGTCCTTCTTGCTCAATACGAATAGGTCACTGTAACCTACTGAACGAACACTTGCGGTGCGACGATTGCCTTCAATTTTATTATTTGTCAGATTGAATAGAAAAAAAATCGATTTGTGGATTTTTTTTTGTTGTAGTGAGAAAAAAAAATATTGAAAACTTTTTGTTAGTAAAAATTAAATTTTGATTATTTTTTCAATTTTTGAGCACAAAAAGTGCCATCACATTGAGACTGGGAGAGAAATATATAAACTTTATTATAAATTGTAATTTATTTTTTATTTGTCAGTGTTGTTAACATAGATGCTTGAATATAGACTAGATCAGGAGTATTAAGGAAGGGTTTTAGCTTAACATGACTAAGCAGCATGACTAATCTCTGCTTTATGGACACGATAGATCGTAATCGAGCTCGTCTCGTCTGCATGTTTATTTAATTTTTCTGGTTGATCACAGATCATTCGTGATTCGTGGCCACATGTGTATCTAATACTTTGGATATACACTCTCGGTCTTTGAGGATCTTTGTGCCAGAGAGCAACGAAACTCTAAACTATGAAAGTCTCAATTTTACGATACATTTAGAACCTAGTTCTTAATTTAAATATGTAAGACAGCTATGTTCTGCGACTCAGTACTGTATTTTAACGATATTAGTGTGTGTTTAAGATTGCACTAGAGTCCAGTGGTGTCCAACCTTTTTTGTACCATGGCACACTTGGCCGTGAGCCATGACAAAAACCAGACACAACATTTGGTTGGAGGATATCCCAAATTTATTCACGGCACACGGGTTGACCATCACTGCACTAGGCACTTGATATTCATCATAGCTGGAAAATACTAGGCACTCCTAGTCTGAGACCCTAGATCAGTGTTGTCCAATATTTTTGAGCCTTGGCACACCTTAAGGGTAAGTCATGACCAAAGCCGCACACAGCATGCGTCTCACTTCATTTTCAAAAAAATTATCCGGCACGCTAGTGTGTCGTGGCACACAGTTTGGACAACTCTGCCCTTGACGATATATTTGAGTATATGAACAGATAATACTTTAAAGTTCTGAGTTTCTTGTACTCTTGATCTCTTTGAAGTGTCCAAATCTCGACCATAAAAGCTATTTTCTCTTCTAAAACGCATCAACCTAGTTAACAACACTGACTTCTGTCATCATATAAGTGAGAAAGATTTATACTATAATAGAGAGATAGTAGGAGAAGCGGAATCAATTTTAATATCATGCAATAGGATGGATTAATATTAAATAAATGGAAAATTGCCAATTTTCTATCATTCATGTTCTTTAAATAAAGGAATCAAGTTTATTGTTGGTTGAGAAAAATTTATTTTGTCTTTTAATGCAGTTTTTTTAGTTTCTCAGTTGTTCTTTAGTTTCTCGAATGAATGAAAAAGTTTCTCATTGCACTTTTTGCATTGGAAAAGTTTTGCGAAAGTTTGACATGAGCTTTTTGTCAAAAGCATTTAGACAGACATATCGTTTTACAGTCGTTCTTTTTTTTTCGGGAGCAATTTTAAAACTTTAATTTTGCTGGCTTATTATTTAGTTGAATTGAGATTGTTTTTAAGTTTGACTTGCCATTTGAACTGCAATGGAAGTTTTCGTCGATAGGTTTTGAACGGGAAAATCTGTTTCGATTGGTTTCTTGAAAAGATGTTCTTTTGAGAGATTCAAGAGTTCGAAAGGGGTACTCAAGAGTTTAAAAGGGGTAATCAATAATTCGAAAGTGGTACTTAAAAGTTCGAAAGGGCTACTCAAGAGTCAAAAAGGGCTTTCAAGAGTTTTAAAGAGTCAGCTACAAAAACACTTAGTTTGAATTTTGTCACCCTCGGGAACACTATGAACCAGTATAGCTGATTTTGGTCCAAATCTCGGCCATACTTCACACTTATTTAAACCACATTTTCTCGTAAATATTAAAATATCATTAAAAAGTAATTAATGCTGAATTATGTCGCTATTTTGTCAAGTGTTTTAAGATAAAGAATTTGTTTTTTGGTTTCCACAGTGAAGAGTATGAACAAAATTCAGATGGGGGAGTCGAAATTTTAGATTTCGATTTTTTTAAGCTATGCATTACAAAAAGTAATATTGGTATGTGATTTATGCCAGAATTATGCCAATTCAAATAATACATCCAAAAAATATTTTTGACCAAAGTACACCATAGAAAATCAATTTTCAATTTTGGACTAGGAGCGACCCTAGTCAAATCAATTTTGTCACTTTTTTCTTCGAGGGTTTATCCAAATGGATTGAAACTTTGCATAAATATTTTAGTGCTCAAAATAATTACAAATAAAATATCCTAAAATTTTTTTGAGCAAAGAACCAAGTAGAAAACTAGATTTTGACTAGACCTGTCCCAAGTTCATAATTGAAAATGTATTTCCTACTTAGTTCTTTGCTCAAAAAAATTTTTGGATATTTGATTTGTATTTGTTTTAAGCACTAAAATATTTATGCAAAGTTTCAATCCATTTGTATAAACCCTCGAAGAAAAAAGTGACAAAATTGATTTGGACTAGGGTCGCCCTAGACCAAAATTGAAAATGTATTTCCTACTTGGTTCTTTGCTCAAAAAAATTTTAGGATGTTTTATTTGTATTTTTTTTGAAGCATTAGAATATTTATGCAAAGTTTTAATCCATTTGTATAAACCCTCGAAGAAAAAAGTGACAAAATTGATTTTGACTAGGGTCGCCTCTAGTCCAAAATTGAAAATGTATTTCCTACTTGGTTCTTTGCTCAATAAACTTAGGATGTTTTATTTGTATTTGTTTTAAGCACTAAAATATTTATGCAAAGTTTCAATCCATTTGGATAAACTCTCGAAGAAAAAAGTGACAAAATTGATTTTGACTAGGGTCGCCCCTAGTACAAAATTGAAAATTGATTTTCTATGGTGTACTTTGGTCAAAAAAATTTTAGGATGTTTTATTTGAATTGACATAATTCTGGCATAAATCACATTCAAATATTACTTTTTGTAATGCATAGCTTAAAAAATTTAAAATTAAAATTTCGACTACCCCATCTGAATTTTGTTCATACTCTTCACTGTGGAAACCAAAAAGCAAATTCTTTATCTTAAAACACTTGACAAAATAGCGACATAATTCAGGATTAATTACTTTTTAATAATATTTTAACATTTACGAGAAAATGTGGTTCAAATAAGTGTGAAGTATGGACGAGATTTGGACCAAAATCAGCTATACTGGTTCATAGTGTTCCCGAGGGTGACAAAATTCAAACTAAGTGTTTTTGTAGCTGACATAATTATGACATAAATTAGGTATAACTTTTGAACTTTATCGATATGGGTCTCGGGCGTACTTCACACCCACACTCTTAAGTACATAAGAGAAACTTAAGAATTCAAAAGGGGTACTCAAGAGTTTAAAACGGGTACTCAAAAGTTTAAAAGGGGGACTCAAGAGTACAAAAGAAGCCCTCAAAAGTTTAAAATGAGTACACAAAAATCCAGAGGCTTATTTGTTCCATAATTTTAATGCAAAACAATTCTGAAATTCGGCAATGCCTTAAGAAATTTTCATTCAATCGTTATTATTTCCCATAGTTTATTTAATTTTTTTTTTGATTACAACGTTCATTTAAGTAGAGCAGGAGGAAGAAAAATTGAGGGAAAGTCCAATTTATTTTCAAGATGCAGGAATGGAATGTTTCATTTCAATTTAAAAAAAGAGGTTAAAAAGCCATAAAAATGCACTTAAGAGGAATTCTTGATAGCTAAATTAAGTTTAAAAAAAATTTTCATTCTATTTCATTTCTTGCAGTTACTGATTCTGACAAGAAAAATTGTACATTTGCTATATGTTAATGGTTTACCGCATGCTTAAAAAACCTCTCCATATTACACTTTTTTTATTGGGTCATATTAGAGTGAAAAAAACTGTTCTATATATATCTAGATATTATACACACCGAAAGCAAATAAAGGAAAAGGAATTGAAATCGGAAATATAAAAGAGAAATCGAGCATTGAAGGAGAATAAAAGGATTTTCTTTTGAAAAGGAAGAAGAATGAAACTAGTAAACAACTTGCGTTGGTTTAACTTTTTATGATTGATTTACTGAAGCGCATTTGCTTCCGATCAGCAATTAGGATATAGAAAATTGAATTTAGTGAGAAACTTCATGATTCAGGAAATTCTGTTATTCAACTAACCACCTGTGGATTTATGAATTTGGCCATGGGAGCTAATTCTATTCATCCTAGGGTTTGTGTTACTTCTGATAAGGATTTTGAGAGTTTTTGGACATGGCAACCTTCTTTTAAGGATCACATTATCCCCTGTCACTCAATTTTTAAATCTTACAATCTGTCTGTTAGTCTGTCTGGCTTTCAGTCTGTGTCAGTTTGTGGCAGTCTGTGTCAGTCTGTGATTCAATCTGTGTCAGTCTGTGTAATTCTATGGATTACTGACACAGTCTGTGTAAGTTTGTGTTAGTCTGTGACTTGGTCTGTGTCAATCTATTCTCATATCCCCAAAAACGGTCCCCCATGTCACCTTGTAGACCCTCTATCCAGTTGTCGTGTAGTTAAAAAGCCCAAAACCTAGAACAAACCCAAAGTGAATCATATAATCACATTATTTGAATCAAAAAAACTTCTCACTAAGAAAAAGAGAAAGAAGGTAAAAGTACACACGTAGAATTATTGACATTTAAAGCTCATACATTAAGAATACTTTATAAAAATGGAAACTTTATTTTGTTCCGCTCGTGTGTGTATGTGTTTATATATATCACGACTCGACAGTGGTATACAGAATGGCAAAATGGGAAAGGGAAAGTAACAGAGAAAAAAATGTATAATTAATTAAAAAGTTTCCTTCCAGAAACTCCACTACATCTAATTTATTGTTGAGAAAAAAGAATCTAAAATGGAAAAATTATAGAGATAAAATAATAGGAGAGGTGTGAGATTGTAGAAAAGGGTATCCGATGGAAATAAAATACTTGATTTACGAGCAACAAAGGATGCGAATAATTTTAGTTTAAAATAAAGGTGTGAAAAGATTTAAGTTTATAAATTTTGTCTTGCTATTTTAGCACTTTTTTGAGAGCAATATAACACGTAATGGTCGCCTATAATTTTCTAGGTTTGAATCTTTTATACTGGATCCTCCTTTAATGTTGAGAGTCGTAAAATGAAGAAGTTTATGGTTCAATAATGTAGTTGTAGTTCAGATTTGATAGATTTTATTTTTCAAACGCTGATTTTAATGGGTTTGGGGCGTAAAATTGTGGATTTTGATGTGTTTTTGGTATTAACATATTTAAGGATTTCTCTAAATTGAGTTTTTACATATCAGCATATGTATGTCAAGATTTTACATATCAAAATACGTTAGTAAACTTTTACATATCAAATTATAAGTCTAAGTTTTTAAAATAATTAAATATGTAGATCAAAAATTTTACATATCAAATTACATTAGCCATAGATTTTACATATCAAAATACGTAAGTCATAGTTTTAATAATCAAAACACGCTAGTTTAATTTTTACATATCAAAATGCACAAGTCGAATTTCTTGCATATCAAAATACGTAAGTCTAAGTGTTTACATATCAAAATGGGTAAGTCAAATTTTTACATATCAAAATACGTCAGTAAAAACAAATTTACATATCAAGTACGCACTTTGAAATATTGCACATCAAATTACATTTTTATGAATTATTGTTCCACATAAAAATTATTTTACACCCCATAACTCATAAGTCTTTCAACATTTTTAACCACTTTATTTCTATGTGAATGCATTTGAGCACTTTTTAGGTCACACAATTTCATTTCATCTTCTTTAAAACATTGTTGCATGATATTAAAAAATTCTTCGAATAATTGGCAAAGACGATGAATCATAAAGTCATAAAACATTCTAACATAAAATTGAATTAATTCAAGTGGTTGACATTAAAAATTTGCTCTGCTACAAGAAGATATTTTTAGATTCCTGTGGATTTCAAAGTCTTCATTCTCAAATCGTTTAAATTCACATATCAATTTCCCATTCTCATGACTGACTGAAACATCAGATATCCATTATGTAACCAGATCAAAAAATAGATGAAAAATTCTATTTTCAATTTTTTTTTTATTTATCTGCTATGCTCACTGCTGATAGAAATTTTCCGCATATCTGAACATACAATATTGATGTACGTCCTCTAATAAAAAAAATCGAGAGTATGAGAAAGAAATGTTGCAATTCATTCGTGCAGAAAGTTCAATCAGCACAAGTAGTCAATTTGTGGCAGTGTGAAATTGTTGATGCTTAATATTAGAATTTATTTTTTTTTATTCATCGGTTGGATTTATAGATAGAAATGTTAAATAATATTTTATAGATAGGATATTTTTTCATATATAGATTGTGGATAATTATCGAGCCAAGCAAAGCGAGATTTTAAGTTGATATAAAATGTCATTCTGAACATGAAAATAAAATGGAAATAGAGGAAAAAAGGGATGTGTGTTTGGTGAATTATGTAATGAAGATCTACTCTACATTGTGAAATTGTGACAATGATTATTTTATTGATAGACACTTAAAAATTAAAATTAAATCATTTTAATTTTTTTGAGGATTTTTAAGACATTTTTTCAGGTTTTAACGTTTTAAAAAATTCAAAACCAATTTTTGACTACTTGAATTTTGAATTTAAGTATTTTTAGAAAACTTAAAAATTATTATCAAAAATTTTGATTTATTTAAAGTTTTAAAAAGCTCACAATTTTAAAATTTCTTTTTATTTCTTTTTCAGAATTTAATAACTTTTCGATTTCTTCAAATTTTAAAAAACTTTTTGATTTCTTCAAATTTAAAAACTTTTTGATTTCTTCAAATTTTAAAAACTTTTCGATTTCTTCAAACTTTAAAAAACTTTTTGATTTCTTCAAATTCGAAAACTTTTTGACTTCTTCAAATTTTAAAAACTTTTCGATTTCTTCAAATTTTAAAAATTCCAATATTTAATGTTTGAGACATAAAATGTTTTAAATTTCAAAATCCTGAAAAAACGCATTAAAAATCATAAAATTAATTATGACAACATTTAAATAGTTTTAACATAAAATATTTTTGAGACGGAAGAAGGAAGAAAGGAAGCAGACAGCAGGTACAATTTTTGAAATATTGAAGAGGCAGTCTCACATCAATCATGTCAATTTTACCAGATAAAATACACCAAAAAAGCTAGAAACACTTTGAAAATAAAACTTAATTTTTTAAATAATTTATTAAAAATAGAGAAAATTATTAAAATCAATTTCTATTAAAATTAAAAAAAGACAATAAAAGTTTAAATTGCTTTTAATACCCAAATTCTTCTAATAAATAAATTCCGAAAATAATTTTGATTTTTCCTAAATAAAACTAATATCCATAAATTGCCGCTAATTGGACACTCATCAAAAATATCTTTCAAATCTAATTTAAAGTTTTCAATAAGTAAACAAAAATTTATCAATTTACTTCAATTTATCAATTTCTATTTTTACATGCTGACATTTAAAATTGAAAATCAAGCTGTTTTTCATTATTTTACTTTTTTTAAAAAAAAAAGAAGCGCTGTTCTTATCAATTTCATTAAATGTCAAGGTTCAGAGAGCTTTATTAAAATAGGGAAAAAAGCTTTTATTTTAGGATAATTTACACTTAAAATGTCAAATTTAATTTACTCAGAGGCACGTGCTATAAAAGTAAATAACAAGCATGGGTATTAGTTTTAATTGACAGTTCTGATAGATTGATTTTTATTCCTTGTTGAATAGTATACAGGGGAGTATATGGCAGGGACATAGCCAGAAATTTATGGCGGTAGTGGAGCCAAAAATTTTTTGTATGGGGAGGGGGCTGAAAACTTTTTTATGGAAGTTTTTCATCCAAAAATAAGAGCAATTGAAGAATTTTTTTCAAATTGGAGGGAGGGGGGGGGGGTTGAACCCAGGTGTATGGAATTTCGGAAGATTAAGAGATAGATTTTGGAAAATCCAGTATAAAAAGACATCTTGACATACTTGATCCCACCCCTTCCCCTCTCCCTTAAAAAGGGATAAGGGGTTGTTCACTTATGACGTCCGAAATTAACGATCATATTTTAAAAGTGAACAATGGATTTCCAGGAATTTCTATTGTTCTTTTCTTGATGACCCCCCTCGCCCCGTAGACGTCATAAGTGAAAGGCTCCTAACAAGCCTCAGAACTTTACAATTCAAATATAAACTAAAAGATTCAAGCAAAGCTTCCAAATTGAAGTCAATCTAAACTTTAAAAGAAATTTTCATGCAAACCAAAAAAAGCAAGTCACAAAGAATTTTTTAGAACTGCCTTCTTTTCATTTCTGTGCTTTTATGTCAGTCACAAATTTACAAATTGCAAGTTGTTTGGTGAATTTTTTTTTGCCAGCAATACAAACACAAAACAAGACTTTCTGATTGATCATATTTTTTTTTGTTACTGTTTTTCAATCAAATGTGAATGCGCAGTCTTGTATACATTTGAATCAAAACATATTTTATATTTATTGTATATACACAATATACAATTTGATGATGCAATATGTGATTTTATGGATTTTTCATGAGATTTACATAAAATATATAGAAAAAAAGAATATTTATGCTGATTAATATCATTAATGTTTGCTTGGCCGCGATATTTACCAAGAGCTTTACCTGCTGTTCCCATATTCAGTATACTAATTTCGCCGAAATACGAGCCAGCTTTAAGTGATGCCATGACGGTTTTACCATTATCACCAACCACTTGTAAACGTCCTCGATTTACTATGTACATCTCCTTACCCACTTCACCTGTGTGAGTTGACATATTGCCATACGAGAATTAAAAAGGAAGAGAGAGAAAGGAAAAAAATGTACATAATGTATTCAGCAGCAGAAAAAGGCACAAAAAATGTCATAATCAGCAGAAAAAAAGGAAAAAATTGAGAAATCATGAGATGGTAAAAATGAGCTTATAGCTCAATGTGTGATTATTTATTACCCTTCCGACATATATAGTCACCGGGTGAAAAGAGCACCGGTCGTAACCTCAGCACAAGTTCGCATAAGAAACCAGCTTCGGTATTTTGAAAAATTTCCACTCGTTTGAGTGTATCTAAATGAACATTTATAGCTATTTCAGCCTGTAATGAGAGGAACAAAAAATATCATTATGGATCGTATCATATTGCTGCTTTCGGTCATTTGTTATCATGCATATAAGGTTGGAACATAAACAATTTGAGGTAATTTACCTTAAGTTTATCAGGAAGACAAGAGACTGCTCTCTCTTCATCGGAACATTTTTGGGTGAGCCATAAATAATCAAACCATTTGATGACTTTCACTTGCAAATGATTTGGAACACGACGCATTCGCATGTACGTTTTCACGCCGTCGAGTTTTGCTGGAATGATAATATTTGGAATTAAATTAAATAATAATTATAATTTATCAAAAACCAGTCCTTTCTCAAGAAGCTAGCCTTTTCTCAAAAAGCAAGTTTTTCGCCAAAAAAGCTAGTCTTTCCTTAAAAACCTAGTCATTTGTCAAAAAGCTAGTCCTTTCTCAAAAATCTAGTTCTTCCACAAAAAGCTAGTCTTTTTTTCAAAAAGCTAGTCCTTTCTCAAAAAGCTAGTCATTTCTCAAGAATCTAGTCTTTTCTCAAGAAGCTAGTCCTTTCTCAAAAAGCTAGTCAATTCTTAAGAATCAAGTCTTTTCTCAAGAAGCTAGTACTTCCCCAAAAAGCTGGTACTTCACCAAAACCTAGGACTTCTTCAAACATCTAGTACCCCTCAAGGAGCTGGTTTTTTTATAAAATTTAATCCTTCGTCAAAAAGCTAGTACTTCCTCAAGAAGCTAGTCTTGTCTTAATAATCTAGTCTTTCGTCAAAAAACTAGTCTTTTCTCAAAAAGCTAATCCTTTCTCAAAGAAACTAATCCTATCTCAAAAAGCAAGCACTTTTTTAAAAAAACCTAGTCTTTGTCACAAAGAAGAACTCACCCTGAAACTCTTTGCGAGCAGCACTAACAGAAGTCACAATATTAGCAACATGCCCAAGAACGGTGGCAAAAAGCATCAATCCAAACAATAATTGACATATCACGTAAACATATTCGGCTTTTGATCGTGGTCTCGGTAAATCACCAATTGTCGTTAAAGCAAGCGTACACCAGTAATAACTTTGTAGATACTGTTTCACAACATCCACCGATTCTGAATCGCTAAAGACCCAATTCTTGGAACCGAATCCATTATTCTTATTAATTATATGATACAAGCATCCATTCCAATGGAATATCACTAGTAAATAGTGTATGAGCGATGTTGAACGAAAAAGATTTGGATAATTTGTGTGACGTTCCGTACGATCCATGAACGCCCAAAATCGATAAATTTTGACTAATCGAAACGACCTTAATATTGAATTAAAACCGATGCTCAAATATAAAAAATCTAATGGTAACAAGCACAGGCAGTCGATGTAAAAGGTCGTCGAATTCATATAATGTTGTCGCATTTTCGTCGAATCCGTTTGAAGTACGCCATCCTCAAGATATCCCGTACGAAAGTGAAAGAGAATGTCGAGTAGATATAAAAAGTCGGAAAAGTAGTCGAGACAAAACCACATTAAAAGTGTTTCTCCGCTAATCTCTTGAAATGCAAATCGGAAGATGATGACCCAAAAGTTATATAAAAATGCTAATGACACAACCATTGACCAGTAATAGCAAAGACGTCCCGCGGGATCGAACACAAATGTCCATTTTGGTGAAGACTTTCGATGTGATGTTGTTGTGGCACATACTGAGCGACGTATTTGTCTGTGGATGATTGTAAAAGGAATTGATTAGTAAAATTATTATTATTTATGAAGATTAATAAAGTTTGCAGCGATGATAATCAAAATTATTGTAAGGACATACATCAAATTATAATTAAAATGTTTTTGTTGACATTTATTTTAAAAAAAAAACCTTAATTAATGTTCAATTTTGATAACTATGTGATCAGTAACACATGTCTAGGGTGACCATCTGCTTGGTTTTTTAGAGGACGGTTCTCCATTTTTAAGCTTTGTCCTCTGTCTTCTGAACGCTTCAATTTGTTCTCTATTTTTATTTAAAAAAAATTGGTCACCCTTCACATATCCAAACTAAATCAACATTAGCTTTCTAGTTTTCATCAACTGCCTTTTTAATTCCTTGATTAAACCACAAAGAAAAAGACGAAAATGTCACTTCCATCGCAAGAAAACTTTTGTAAGTATCAACAAGACTTTTAATCAAATTTTTGGTTTCCTTTAAAATTCCACAACTTCCAGTACTTCGAATGGTTGTCATTAAAATCTCTAAATTAATTGGAGCTAATTTAAAAAGTCGACAACTCTTTTCGTGGCAGCAGAAAGCAATATTAATAATCCAATTGATAGCACTTGCGACTCAAATCAATGGTCTGATCAGTGTATGGCCAAATGTTGCTGAAATATGCAACTCATTGATTGTGTGGTTTTTTGGAGTTCAAACAATTACGAGAGGAATCAGCACATTTACAAAAAATGACGAGAAAATTTGTCCTGAAATTGAGAAAATTATTGACAATTTTTTTCAGAAAAGTGAGAAAAATGAAAAATTTCGTCAAATTTTACTTTCGCATTTAAGAATCTTTAAGCCAATTGTATTGGCATTTTTGGCAGTCTACTTTATATCTAGTTTTCTACCAATTATCACAGGATGGATAATGACGTCGATTGGTGGAGAAGTCAAACTTTTCCTGCCTATAAAGTTTCCTTACATCGACCTCAACAACATTTTTGGATATTTATTTGTCCAATTTTTTCTAGCTTTATTGGCAATGACATTATTTGCTATCATTGCTACTGGAGACGTCTACAACTTCTACTTGACATTGCAAACTGTTTTGATGGTTAAAATTTTGAACTGTCAGTTTGATAAACTCGGTGAAGATTTAATTAAAGTTCGAGAATTGGAAGAGAAAACTCAAAAGTTGAGGACCAAAAAATCCAAGTCTTGGGACATTTTACTATTTAATAATTCCATTTTTTACCGTAAAAAGTCAAATAATATGACTTTTATAAAGGAACTAGAACAATTAAAAAACCATGTAAATAGACAATTCAAAACCCTGATTGATGAGCACAATGCCTATAGTGACTATGTCTTACGGATAATGGCTTACAGAGAAATGATAACGTTCACAACTTTGTACATAAATTTCATTGAAATCGGCCTTTCTTTAATTTCTATTAGATTCTCATCAACATATTTCGGTGTCTCAGCATTGATTATTTTCACCCTTCAAGTGTTTGTTCCGTGCTTTGAAGGCACACTTGTATCTATTCAAAATGAGAAAATTCTGGAAAAATTGCACGAATTTCCTTGGTACGAACTGTCAAATGCTCAAAAGAAAATTTTTCTGCAATTCCTGTGCATCTGTCAAAATAGTTGCAGCTTTCAGTTGCCTATTTTCGGTGATGTTGACATGGAATTGTTTACTAATATAATGCAAGCATCTTATTCGTTCTTAATGTGTATCATTCAGTTTGTTGATTTGGATTAAAAGCTGATCGAACATGGCAAACAATTTTTGAATGAGTGACAATGGGGAGATTTGGGTTTTAAAATCTTGTTTTTTTAATGCACGTCATTTTTAAAAACCCTTTGAGGTATGAAGTATATTAAAGTGGCTCAGTCGCTAAATGTTTTTGCACGGCTTTCTTTAGAATGAAAGGAATCAATGCAAGCTGTTTATTCATTTCTAATGTTTGTTCCTCAATTTGTTCACATATCAAATTAGTTAAATACTAATTATAGGCTCTGGATGTTAATCGAAACTATTTTAATTGCTGTTTGTTGTAAGTTATCTTGTGAACTTGAACATATTTTTTTTTGGGTTATTGAATAAAGCTTAAAATTAAATTTGTTTTTGAATCAGTTCAAAATTGAGTCTATAAGAAGTAAGACTGATAATGGTGCTGCCTACTGAAGAAAATAATTGTAAGTAGTGTGGGTTTTGAAGTTTGTCGATAGCCGGCAATCTACAGTACAAACAAATCCTCCTGAATCAACAAAAAATCCTGACCCCCCCTCTAATTTTTGTCCCCCCCCCCCTAATTTTTGCCCCCCCCCCCCCCCCCAACTTCTAATTCCTAGCTACGCCACTGCCACAGTCGGATTTAAAAGCAAACAGGCAACTTCTTCTGTAATGATTACTATATGGCCGGTTTTTAAGAGTTTCCATAGTGTACTTAATAGATTTTTGATCCTAGCATAGCTCAAGTTGACCTAGAATCTTGCCCATACCTAACAATAACTCATCAAACCCAATCAATGACAGAAAATAACAAAAAAATTTATTATATTTATTTAAAAAATTCATTTCAGCCCTCAGAATGATGATTGTAAAGATGCTACGTCTAATTGGTGCAAGTTTACCAAATGGAAAGCTTCTGTCTGTACCACAAATAATAATTTCAATTATACAAGCTATAGCAATCTCAATCCAAATTAATGGTCTTATAAAGTTGTGGCCAAATCGTACCGAATTAATTAGATCGATAATTCTTTATCTTTTGGGCACTCAAACAATTATAAGAGGAATAAGCAGGTTCACAAGAGATGACGAAAAGGCTTTGAAGGAAATCAACGGAATTATTGACAAACTTTATGGTGAAAATGAAAAGGATGAGAAATTTTGTCAAAGTTTGAGTTCAAATGTGAAGCTTTTTAGAAAACTTATTTTAACTTACTTAATCACGTGCTGCATATTTTATCATTTACCAGCTGCAACAGGATGGATATTGACATTAATGACTGGAGAATTTGTCCTGCCGATGCCACTTAAATTTCCATACATCGACTCATATTCAACTTTTGGCTTTCTTCTTTGTCTTGCATTTACGACTTTGGTATCGACAACATTATTCCTTATTATTGCTGCTGGAGATACAGCCAACCTTTATTTTACTCTACAAACTATCACAATGGTTGACATGTTTGTTCTTAAATTGCAGTTTCTTGGAGAAGATTTGATAAGAGTACGGAAATTGGAAATAAAAATTCAAAATGACGAACTTTCCATAAACTCTAAACCTAGCCAAAAAGTTGGAAAAGCATCAATCGACCTAAAGTTGAAAAACCTTAAAGTCATGCAAAACTTCGTCGATCAACAATTTATAAGGTTAATCAACGATTACAACACCTATAATGACTACATATCAAGAATCTTTTCATTCAGAGAATTAATAACCTTCACGACTCTATATCTGAACTTTATTGGAATTGGACTTTCCTTAGTCACCATCAAGTTTTCATCAATATCGTTTGGAATCGCAACTGGAATGATTTTTACTCTTCAAGTGTTCATGCATTGTGTTGAAGGAACACTAGTGAGTATCCAAAATGACAAGTTACTAGCTAAGGTTCAGGACTTTCCATGGTATAAGCTATCGCATCCTCAAAAGAAAATATTTTTACAATTTCTTTGCATTTGTCAAAGCACTAACAGCTTCAGCTTGCCAATCTTTGGAGATGTCAACATGGAATTATTTAAGGACATAATGCAAGCTACTTATTCATTCTTGATGTGTATCATTCAGTTTGTTAATTAATCTGGACCTTATTTATCACATGGCAGTTCACCTTTTTGCTGCTAAGGGGCACAATTTAACTCAGAGTTTCCACCTATCAAAGGCAAAAATCTATCCAAGGCATTGCCATCAATGCGTTAAAATTTACCGTTGTCAAGACATGCCTAGCCAAATGCAATGCCTAGAAATAGGTGTTACCTGGACAAAATCAAAAGCTACCATGCTCTGGTTAGGCACCTTTCCAATTGTACTTAACTGACAACTCTGATTCAACCTATTATCAAGGGTGTGGGACTGATGAAATGATCAAAAATGATCAAAAATAATCAAAAAATTACAGAAGTCCTCGTGTTATTAATCGAGGGACTTAAGCGCATTTTTGTGTTAGCGATCAGTATTTGATTATGTAATTATTTTGTGTTCACTTACAGATCAAATAATTACCATGCTACGGACACGTCAAAAAATCCGTTATTTTTTGCTTTGAATTTCAAAAAACCGTTTAATTTCCATGAATATTTCTTGCAAACACTGGCAAAACCAAGGCTTGGGCAAACGATTCTTATTCTTAGCTTCATGTTTAGCTAAGTTTAGCTAAAATCATCCAAGAAAAATACCAGAAATTAAATATTAATGCTCAAAATCTTAAAATTGACAAACTTTTAACGGTTTTAAAATATTCAAACACTAGGTCTACTAAATTCAAACATGTCGAAAACATTCGACTCTGAAATGTCCGTAGCATGATAATTACAATGAATTAAAATTAAGAAAAGGTTTATCATTTGACGGTTTTTTGAATTCAGTTTTTTAACGGTTGAAAAAATTCGAAATTCTGAACGCACCCTGATTACAATTTTTACAACGGTAGAAAATAATTCAAGTTTCTAAACGCACCCATCACGTGTTTTTCATATGAAATAAAAAAAATCATTAATTAAAGTATAAATACAATGTTTTAAGACTTTTAACTGTTCGGCTGGCCAATAACTTGATAGAACTGAGCTATTAAAACAAACCCGAGCTCTCTACGATGTCTGGTTAAAAAGTTTTTGTTGCCCCGAGCAGCCGAATAAAGCGTATTATTAAGCTACCTTTTCGAAACAAGTTTCAAAAATGCGCTAAAAATGATCAAAAATGATCAAAAATGATCGAAATTGATCAAAATGTAATTCTTCAGTTCCACAACCTTGCCTATTATTTAGGTACCTAGCATATTATCATCATATATGTAATTAAAATCGAACAATTTACGAAATGTATTATTTCTATTTCTTGTAAATCATTATGAGAACATAAACATATTTTTATAATATTCAATAAATCCACTTTAATTTTCCAATCAGTTTTAAGTTGAATATTCTTTAAGTAGGATCAAAAATGGTGCTGCCTTCAAAAGAAAATGACAGTAAGTAAAATTTTCGCATTTTCGTGATGGACTGATATGAAGCGGATGTGGGATTTTGTTAATTTTGTAGTGCCTATTGCAGCTTTGTTTTTGACTTTTATTATATAGCCTTTCTTTCACGAACCCATTTTAAGCTTATAGCAAGGTAGATCCTTGCTTCCTGCCAGTGCTCTAAGGATTTCGAGTCTTTTTTTAATACAATAATTATAATAATGAATAAATTTTTTATCTAGCTCTCAAAATGACTATTGTAAATATGTTACGTATTATTGGTGTCAATCTACCAGACGGAAAGCTGCTGTCAATACAACAGATAGTTGTAACAGCTATTCAAATTATAGCACTAGGATTTCACGTCTATGGTCTCATCGATTTATGGCCAAAACCAGCTGAAATCTGCAAATCAATAATCATTTATTTATTGGGTACTCAATCGATCATAAGAGGTGTAAGCAGATTCACAAGAAATGACGAAAAGGCAATGAGAGAAATGCACGAAATTATCGACAACTTTTATATAAAAAATGAAAGAAATGAAAAATTTCGTGAAAAATTGAGTTCAAATGTGAAACTTTTCAGACGAATTATTATTTTATATATTGCCATATGCAGCATAAGTTATAATTTACCAGTTATATCAGGATTAACATTGAGTATAATGACCAGAGAATTCGTACTTCCGGTTCCAATGAAACTCCCTTACATCGATTCAACTACAATTTATGGCTTTCTACTTTGCCAGACAGTCATTGCAATGGTATCAAATATATTATTTTTGATTATGGTTGCTGGAGACACTGTCATTCTGTATTTTACTTTACAAACAATCACGAGGGTCGAGTTGCTTAATCTTAAATTTCAATTGCTTGGAGAAGATTTGATAAAAGTTCAAAATATGAGAAAAATTATTGCAAAGTCAAACAGAAACTTTAACTCGTCTATTTCTATTAGGACTAAGCAAGTCTGCAAATATATTTCTACATCTACAAATGATATTGATTTTATTGTGCTTAAAGCTATGCAAAACTATGTTGATGAACAATTTATTAATTTAATTATTGAGTACACAGTCTATAACGATTATGTATCGCGGATACTTTCATTCAGAGAAATGATAACATTTACAACTTTATATCTTAATTATGTCGGAATCGGACTATCTTTGGTAACTATCAGAGTATCAACAATATCATTTGGTGTTGCCGCCTGCATAATATTCACACTGCAAGTCTTTATGCATTGCTTTGAATGCACCTTAGTCACCATTCAAAATGAGAAGCTATTGACTAATGTTCAGGAATTTCCATGGTATAAGCTATCGCATCCTCAAAAGAAAATATTTTTGCAGTTTCTTTGCATCTGTCAGAACACGAATAGCTTCAGCTTGCCAATATTTGGAGATGTTAATATGGAATTATTTACTGACATTATGCAAGCTGCTTACTCATTTTTGATGTATGTTATTCAATTTGTTAATATTAAGTAGTTGTAATGATTAAAATATGAAAGCATAGAAGCAATTGCTTAATTGGGTCGGGGTCAGTTTCCAGCTTAACTTAGAAAGAACGTGAGCCAAGGAGCTATAGAAACGGAACCAAAGACAAAGTTCCCTGAATCTCAAACCCCCCACCCTCATCCACTGAAGTAACTGCATCAACTGTAAAAGATAAATTCACAAATCCTAATTAGTTGCATCCACAAAACAGCATTGACCAGCAGCATACAAGCTATACATAAAATATTGTCAACAATATTTAATTCAAAATTTCGATGTAGCTTGTAAACTTTCCAATATAACCCTTTCTATCCATACAATTTGATTAGACTACTTAAAAATTTCTTCAATGTAGCAAACTGAACATGTCACGGACATGAGTTCTATATTTATTTACTTCCATTTACTGTTAGCAAATTAGCCGCAAGCAAATCCTTTTCATTTAACCAACAATCATTGTATGAAAGTTACAACTTTGTTAAGTTTTGTTTTGTCCGAGATATTCAACAAGCATTGACCCATTCATGCTGTACACAGTAAATATATCAGCATAAAGCTAATGAATGGAAAGCCCAATTGGCAGATTTAATTTTTTTTTCTTTTATCCTTTCCAATTTGATTATCATCATGAATGGTAAATTTTTACCGCACTGCAGCACTCACAGATAATAGGAGCAAAGATGAATAAAAAAAAGCAAGTCCGGACGATAATCAAGTTACACTCACCTATCTGCATTATTACTACTATTGACACCATTTCCATTATTGCTAGTTAAATGATTGGTCGATGCTGATGTGGCAGTGGGATGAGCAAGCGATTCACGCGGTGCTGTTGACGGATTCCATGAACCGAGTAATGGCTGTTCGCCTGGTTTCAGTTTACTACTACTTTTGCTCTCATTCTTACGCGATAAATCCATATCAGACGTTGTTGCTGAATAGGAGTGTAACGGATGTGATACGCATGGTACTGACAAGCTATCACGTGATGAAAAAAATCCTTGCTGACTGATGCTTTGACCAATTTGCGGTCTTTGCATTCCAATCTTTGAATTAACAATGTCTGAAAATGGATAAAAAAGACGGAAATTGATGAAATATATTATTTTAAAGAGTTTTATGGGAGTACAGAACAAAAGAGAGGTTCTAAGGCAAAATTGCGGAACTGATTAATAACGTTTTTAGTAGGCTTTAATGATACCGGGACTAGGACTCATCCCGTCAAGACTGGAGAATCGAAAAAGCCTAATTTTGTTGGTTTTTTATCAGTTCCATAACCTTGGTCTAAAATTAGTGGCATAGCTTTGAGTGAGCCATTGATAAAAAGGAACTCCCATACAAAGAGGCACTAAATTACTTTTCTAGGTTGTCAAATTCCATCCAATAGGACGCAAATTTGGTTCAGAATGACAAAACTTTTGCCTACGGCACTGTGTTGCTTTACGCCACTGTCTAAAGCTGTCATAAAGCGATTACACAGCATGTAAAGTTCTATCATAGTATTCATTAAAAGTTATGACTATAAATTCAATAAATTTTGTCTCAATTTTTTTTTCTCTTTTAACTTTCAGTTGAAATTTTTAATTTGTCTAAATTTAAAAATCTTTAACTCTTCTTTTTGGGATCATTTGGATGCTACGTAACGTCAATTTTGTCATTTTAAGATCCTTTCGAAGCCACAATCACACCCCTTTACCAACTTCATCATTACATCCATTGTATTAAGATCAGGAACGTAGCCTGTCTACTGTCTATACTGCCCTTGACTATGTTCATAGTTCCGTAACATCCAAACGATCCATAAAATTAAAAAAAAAAAAAAAAAAAACAGGAACAACTGTTTACTCAACAAACTTTTAAACTTTGCAAAAATATTTTTTCCACCCGAATAACTTCAAACTATTCAACAGGACTTTATCAATTCAGGAACTCAATCAAAAAAAGTGATGAATCCAAATGAACATACCTTCACAAAACGCCCATAAGAATTTTTCAATTACAATTTCAACTAGAAACAACAAATAACTGAATGTATGAATCAATGTGGATATGCAGGATTCAAAAACACACATGGGTAGGAATAACAGCAACAAGAATGAAAGTAAACAAAAAAAAAATTTAATCTTATTTCTTTCAGCCATAGGGGCGCAGTCAAACCAGCATGATATAAAACAGTAGTTCACAGGAAATTGATGGAAATTTTTTTTATTTGCGTGTAGCCATACGACATACGCAATTGAGAGGGAAATAGGATGTATCATATAAAAGAGATTAGAGCAGTTAATGTCTTTAATTTGTCTGCCTGTCTAGCTGTTTACTTGTCTTTTGTATGTCTGGTTGTAAGTTTGTCTGGTGTGTCCTTAGGTTAAAATAGAGATTTCAGGAGTTAATGTCTTTAATTCTTTTTCCTGCCTGTTTGTTTGTCTAGCTATTACTTGGCTGTTCGTCTGATCTGTCACTCAGTTCTTCAGTCTGTTTCTTACTCTTTCTGCTGATCCTCATATGTGTCGTTCCTTCCACCTAATCATTTGTCAATGTAAATTTTTATAGCTACTTAGGAGATAATTTGAGAAACTAGAACTAATTTCTCACTTAATAATGCGCTGTAGCCATCAAAAAATGACCAAACACATATCAACATATTTTCAGCCACGACACAAAATGGCATGTGCTCATGAAAAAATGTCAATAGACTCTCCATGTTTTGCACATACTAGATTAGTAACTCATACTGCGATACCGCAAAAAAATGTTATCTTAAAAAAATGGGGGAAACAACAACAAACCACAATGTCATCAATATGTGCGAAGTTAAAGGATATAGACATCAAAGACATAATATGCACGTTGAAAAGTAAGCTTGCCTTTTAACCAAAGCCACTTTACTCACCTATTAAGCTCTGTCGACTAAATGTCGTCTCACAATTTGTGTCATTTGCTAAGTTTATATTAGTAAAGTTTGTATTGATGCTGCACTTTGATGGTGCAGAAAAGTGCATGGTATTAGCATCATCAAAATCACTTGACTTAATACGATTACGTAATTGAAGTTGATGTAGCTTCCGCTGCTGTTGCTGTTTATGATGCAAATGCATTAACGATGGACTCTTAGACTCAATAAAATGACATTCATGTGTTTCCCTAAGGTTATTATTGTCATTCGGTAAGCAGAAATTGTATGCTATAGACGTAGAATGTACCAAAACCGACGATGACGATTAAAATATTTTTTTTAAATAGAAAGACAGAAAGAACCAAAATAGAATGTTATATGAATGAGAATGGAATAAAAAACTGCTGTGGAATATTTTTTTTAATTGCACACGAAGAGATAGCACAAGCACAGAGAGACAGAAAAAGCATAGAGCATTTAAAAACCATTGAGGCATTGCGGGGTAACACTGAGAGGAAGACAGAATTGATTTTCATTTTTCGTTTGCTCTAAATGTGGGAATGAGATCATTAAATTGCAAAGCTCACTAATGAAGCACATAATTTCGAAGCCTACTGCTTCCATTTTAAAATGGTAAATAGAATCTCTTTAGGATTTTAATCTCGTTTAATTTGTCTTTAATTTTAGATGCTTCTTAATGGATACTGATTCCCATATTTGTTTTAATTTACAGCATAAATATGCGCTTTTGTGGTTTTGTGGACCTTATTGTCACAAACTCTGGATGAAATGGAGACAGTTGATGTATAATTCAGCATAATTAGGCAAGACATTCAGATATTTATAGTGACAACTAAGTTTACGCAATAGTCTTCAGAAAGTAGACTAGTCAGCACCCAAAAAAGCTACACTAAATAAAAGCTAGAATCTGAACTATCAAATCTGAATCTAATCAATTGCTCAATTCCACCCGACCGTACAAACAGACGCACAAACATTTTAATGTGCCGACCGGTCAAAAAACACAATAAAATTTTTATTCACTCAAAAACTTCAAAGCTAGTTCATCTGAGGATTAAAGTGAATCAAAACTCTATATTGACTAAATACGATTTATAATTAATAAAGGTTCACTTCCATTAGAATCATTTCGAAAATAAAAACTAAACTTTTCAACTTTACGACGAGTGTTCAACACTCATTCACAATCGAACAAAAAATGATAATAAAACAGAATGACAATAGTGAATGGTCAGTGACAGATACGATAGAGAATAGTCGAGAAAAGTTTCATTTTTATTGTACATATATGGACAATTTAAAAGATAGATAAGAATGTGAATGTGAAGAAAAAACAGGGAATGGGAAAAAGGATTTGGATCATTAAAAATTGAGCACAGTCACATTTATTTATTTAGCACACATTTATGGTTTTTCGAGTGTTGTACAGGAAGATGAAAATTTAAATTCAATTACAGGACATGATGTTCGGTGAGTGCACAGAGACTATGCTTAAAAAATGATGATTTGAATTTGTTTGAGGTGGATTGAGTGAAGCGCATTAACATTGATAAGAGGCTGTATAATCAGTAGGACACTTAGATCTATGCCATTGGAGAGCTTTTAGTCTAGGCTAGAGTCTTGTTCAATGAATCCCAATCTTAGACTTTAAGTGTCATTTCCAATTAAAAGCAAAGCCATTTCCAAATTACTAGTCCTTAGTTCTAAGTAGGCAATCTTCCTAGATGCAATATCGACAACATTTCAATGTGTTACGATTGAAAAATTAGAACCGAAGTGTGAGTAGCATCGAACTAGACCCTTTCCCTGACTTAATATTTATTCACGATAGATGTTTAGATTTACTTTCCAAATAACAATAACTAAAGAGCAGGCATGGCAAATTTTGGCTTAGTAATACCTTTCTACAATAGATTCTATCATCGCAGTGCCTCCAGCTCGGTCGCACCGTGGAGAAACACATTGCTTGACTTAAATCCTCTTAGGGGTCGTTCACTTATGACGTCCATCAAAAAACCTGATTTTTAGACCCCCCCCCCCTCTGTCACAAAAATTCTATAGAAAAAATTTTCCATTGTTTGAACTGTCACAAAATCCGAGACCCCCCCCCCTAAAAGTCGGACGTCATAAGTGAACGGCCCCTTTACATTAGTATTAGCCTCCCAAAAGCATAATGAATAACATCAACTGACCATCATTCACAGCAACCCAAACCCCCAAATATCTTCCAGACACTCATCCAATAATCAACAATTCCCACACAAAAGACAACTAAAAAGCACATTGAACAGTAAGTTTATAAGTAAAGCAGCAGGACATGTACAGATAAATGAAAATGGGCAACAGTAAATGACATTAGCTTTCCCACTGACATATTGCGCACAATAAATAGTCTGGAGTATAGTGACTTTATTGCAGTCAATTTCATTCTATTTATGTATCGTGACAGTACAGAAAAGTGTAATTAATTAAAGTTGTGGCTATTCACTGTTTTCGATTGCAGTAAATGGATGAATATCTTGGAGTTTATGGATTGAAATTGTTGGTTTTGGAATTTATTGGGATGAAATAATTGGAGTGTGTTTAGGAAGAATTTTTGGAGGTTGAACTAGGTTGTCTGAATCTTCGTTGGATGTTTTATGTCCTGAATGCCTGGGGGTTGTCAATAAATGACGTCAATCAATATATATAAGATTTTGAGGACTCTAGGAATATCAATGCTATATATTTTCTCACAAAAGTGTCAAACAACCTTAGATTCTGCCTTAATCTCATAGAAGTTCCAAAACTCAAGACTGTCCAGCCCAGAAGATCACACCAAGAACCAATGACAACGCCCACAACTCAACTCAAACTCCATAAAATTTCATGAGCCATCAGAACTTAAGGAAGTAAAGTGATCATTGTCGAATGGCATTAAACACCTCATCAAATATTTAATATTAAATGCTCACAGTCGTATCGTCATCTTTCCACCCTCAATTCCTCTTCCATTTGCTATTTTGTAAATAGAAGAAATAAAAACTTTTTTTTTCGTCCTCAACTTTAAATGCAGTCAAATCATGAAAAACCGAGAGAGAGAAATTGTTTAAACTATCAAGTTTTATGGACATGTAGACAGTGATTTTTTTTTATTCCATTGCATCCCTT